GCCGAAGGCAGCAATGAGACAAGACTCGTGCCCTTCCACCGCAGCTCTGCTGCCAGCAAGGTACGCAACCACTTCGCCTTCAATAACTCCCACCAACTGAAGATCAGTAATGACATCGGGATGTTCTCGAAGCTTTCTTACTGCTACATGCTCTTCACATCCTGGCTGATACAGATTCCAAAACGCCTCTCGGACAAGTGCATCAACTGCTTCAGTGTCAGCTGGTTCCTCTCTTCGGATTAACATCTCACTCATTCGCTGAAGATACCTCGACGACAAAGTTCCTGAAAAGCCAGAAAATATTTATAATGATTCACCACCTGCTTGTCAGCTTGCACTGGGACGGGAAAGGCCTCTTGCAACTCAAGCAGAAATCGCTGCTTGAAAATGGCCTAAGCCGAAACTCCCACATGGAGCTTATAACCGGTTGCTCGAACGTACTGTGTGTAAGCATGTGCACCTAATTCATATTTAGATAGGCAATGATTGCACAAGCTTGCTGCGCTGCGTTTATTGCAAACTCGGACCCTACTGGCCGAACTTAAAGCATTGCACGTGATCATCCGTGACTCATACTTTCGTATGTCGACCTGCTGAGTTGAAACGACTTCCTGAATGAACTTCTCTATGCTGAAAGGTCCCTGTGCTTAAGCTTATCTAGCTTCTGAAGGAACTCCCGCAAGAACTACTGCATATGAGAAGGTTGCATTTGTGTATAATACCCTGCTCAGTTTAGACAGATATCATGACCAAAACCCTCTGCATTCGAGAAGAGATCTCCCGCTCATAACCCTCTAGTTCAGAAGGGTTCCTGACTACACCCCCCTAGTCTAAAAGAAATCTTTTTTTTTTTCTGAAGGAGTACCCAACGATAAATGATACCGGAGAAAAAAAACAATCAGGACTATAGGGCTATAGGGCTATAGGGCTCTTGAGCTATAAGGCTATAGAGCTATAGGGCTATAGAGTTGTAGGGCTATAGGGCTATAGGGCTTAGGGCTATAGGGCTACAGGGCACCCCCGGGCACCCCCGGGCACCCCCGGGCACGCCCGGGCACCCGGGCACCCTGCCGGGCACCCGGGCACCCGGGCACCCCGGGGCACCCCCCAGGCACCCGGGCCCCGGGCACCCCTGGGCACCCCGGCACCCAGGCGTGCAGTAAAAATCGGCGACAAACCTAACCTAACCATATGAATCCGCTAGGACCCCTACAGAGGCAAGCTCTGATTGGGGAATACTAAAAGGAGTCTTTTCCTAAAGGAGTACCCAACGCTAAAATATTCAGTTGGAAGGGGAATCCGTTTTGTAGTTCCTTGTAGTTCTTCTAGCATGAAAGGAAATCATACTTAGAATCCTCTGTGTAGCAGCGATGTTCATCATAAGCATCTAGTTACAAAGGGAGTATGTTTAGAATCCTAGTATATTTGGTACGTTATCATTCACCCGTTGTCTAATCAAGTCCTATAGGAAGAGGTGTGTCTTAAAAGGGACTCTTTGTTTAGAATACCCTAAATTGACATGAACTTCTGATTCGAATCTCTGTATGTACAAAACCCCTTTATTGGTGTCTTCATGTTTACATGAATTGCCGATGAATCCCTGTTAACGTCCTCCGGTTGAATTATCTGGCTTGAGCATGAGAGGCGCACTCCTTTTAAATGTCCTCCATGCTTCATGGTTGTCCCAGCCAGGGTCCTGGTTAGAACGCTTTAGTTTGAAATGAAATCCGAGTTAGAAATCCATTATTTGGACAGGCAAACAGGTACTGCGTAACTTCATGTTTCAATTAATACCTGTCTGTGATTCCACAGCATACCGAGGAAGGCCCAGGGACATCATCGCCTTCATCACTGCCCGGGAAGGTCCACAAACATCACAGAAATAAGGGAGCGAGAACCGACGAGACACGGGTTGTAGCTCGGGGAAAAAAAAACATACGTATCCGCAACATCCCAAGGAAACCCCAGAAGCATCACCTCCGTCACCACCGTCGCGACCATCATAATCAGCTACCTGGGAGGGATGTCCGCATGTATAGGTATATATATGACGGATGCTGATCATTCGTAGCAGTGAGTTTCTGGCATCCCTGTCGGCGTCAGCAGAAAAAAAAACAAAACAAAAAAAAACAGCCCTAACATTCCTCCGTCTTGTAAGCAAATAACACCGACGATTGTCTCTTTAGGTTGGCACCGCCTAGAGCCAAGCAAAGCTTGATAGAAGTGGGGGTTTGTTTGGTGATTCATGTGTTTCAAAACGGCCCTGACTTGCTTCTGCAGGCAGGCAGGCAAGCAAGCAAGCAGGCAAGCAGGCAAGCAAGGAAGCAGGCAAGCAAGCAAGCACGACAGGCGACGACGGCGACAGAAGGAGTAGGGGGAAGAGTTGTTTCGTTGTGTTCTTTCAGTGTGCGACACTCAGCTTCCGATGGTGTGGGAGTCTGAATCGCCCCCTTCCTTCGTCGGGTACGTGCCCGGCTTGGCAGGGAGCACTCTGACGGATGGCCATTGTCCAGCCCACGAGCGGCCACGAGAGGCAGACGGGCCAATAGAGGCCTGCGTCAGCCGCCAGCGAGCGCGGCATTATCAGAATTCGCACCTGCAGGGCCCAAACCCTGGCGGACCATGGGAGGCCAGAGGAGGGCCCAACAGGGCCGTACAACTGCAAAGCCTGAACTCTGGCGAACCAGCGGAGGCCAGAGGGAGGCTCGGTAGCAACGCCTCGGACTATGAGCGCCTGCTAACTCAAGGTCGAGGAGGGAAGAGGTGCAAGCGCGAATGCAGGGCATCTAAACTGGGAAGAGCATCTGGTACGATGCGGGCTTGCGCTCACGGGGACACCAGGAGAGCTGCCACATTTAGGGGAACTAAAAATGTCACAAAAATAAAACTCGGAGGTCCGCGCGGATTTTTTGGATCCGCGCTGGGCCCCCCTCTCTGGCGCGCGGAGCGAGCCAGGGGCGGCGCCGGAGGCGCCGCCAGGGGGCCCCAGCGCCGATCCCAGAAATCCGCGCGGACCTTCGAACATTTAACATTTTACGTTTATGTCATTGTTCGTTCCCCTAAAATTGCGTTGGCCCGGCTGGAACTGAATGCGGCGCTCCGGCCGCGCATAGAGCCGTGGAGATTTCCACGGCCCCGCGCGGCTGCCCGGGAGCCGTGCAGGCCGGTCACAGGTCCAGATGGAAAAAAGTGTCGGGGAGTGATGGGCCGATTCTCCACCGCCACTACCATAGGTAGGAGGGGGAGGAGGAGGAGGAGGAGGAGGAGGAGGAGGAGTAGGAGGAGGAGGAGGAGGAGGAGGAGGAGGAGGAGGAGGAGGAGGAGGACTCCCCAGCGCCCCCCCCCCCCGTCCTGCCCATGGTAGTGGTGGTGACAATTTGGCCCGTCAGAGAGGCCGCGGCCCCGAGGGCGGCATGCTCCAGAGGTGCTGCGGCTGGCAGCACCGTCGCGCGAGCTTGGGCTGCCAGTCGCTGGCCGACGTGCCTGCGCCTCCTCCGCGCCCCGCCGCGCCCCCTCAGCAGCAGCCGCCCTCCGAGCTGTCCTCGTCGTCGTCGTCGTCGTCGCTGCTCTCGGCGTCCTTGATGAGCTCCTTCTCCTTCACCGCCTCCTTGCTGGCGCCGCCACCGCCGTGGCCTCCAGCACCGCCGGAGACCACGTTGTACGCGGCGAACGAGATGATGTTGATGATGGCCGAGACGACCATGATGAAGCCGTACGGCGCCTGCGGCAGGTGGTCAATGCCAACCAGCAGGGCGAGCGGAACGGTGGCGGCCTTGTTGAAGTTGCCCGCGAACGCGACGTGGGTGGCCGACAGGTACTGCACGATGCTGAACTGCAGGATGTTGTACACCAGCGAGGCCAGGGCAGAGCTGGCGCCGAAGATGAATGTGGACTTGCTGTGCTCCCAGACCTGACCCACGACCCAGGCGTCGTTCGTGTAGCCGACCCCGTCCCAGTGCTTCACGGGGTGCTGCAGCAAGAACACGAAAGGGAGGAGGATGATCGCGGCGGGAATGGAATTGTAGACCACGGTGTTGAACCCGTCCAGCTTCACGGAGGTCTTCAGGATCCCAGCGAGCGCCAGGTTGACGCTCCCCGAGAACAGGGACACCACGCAGTATATGACGCCGATCACGGTCTTCGCGGACTCGCCAGCTCCCGCCTTCTTGTGGGACTCGCCCTCGGCCTCGGCGGCAATCTTGGCCCAGACGCACACGCACATCATTGCAGCACCCAGCATCATCAACCCGATCTCGATGGCCTTGCAAGGCTTCCCCTCGCCTGTCGTGTACTTGGTGAGGAGCCACTGTGCGAGGAAGGTCGAGAGGGGGAGGCACGAGCGGATGATGAGATTCAGCGTCAAGGGGATGAGCGCCATGGACATGTTGTTCAAGGCGATGTTCATCGTGAAACTTGCCGCGAAGCACAGCACCGCGATGACCTCATTCTTGGAGGTCAGCCTCTTGATCTCGATCTCTTTGTCTCCCAACTTGTTGAAGCCGAGCGCCTTCGCGGGGAGGAAGAGCAACCAGAAAATGACGAACCCGCCGAATTGCTGTATCCCGGTAACGAAGAACGAGGCCTGGAAGCCCATCCAAGCGCATGAATCCCCCGCATCTGCACAGTACTCCGCGGGCGCTGGATTGAGGACGGTGGCGGACGAAAAAACTGCCTTCATGTACATGTTCATGCCAGTCTGGGCGCCGAAGAAGATAATCAGAAGGCCCGGCGTCATCAGCTGAGGAAACTTCTTCAGCATGCAGAGGATAGCACCACCCACAATGCAAATGGCGGATATGCCGAGCTCCTTCACCAGCTTGAGCTCATCCCCGCCGCCAGAGACCTGCTGGTGGCTCGTAATGTGAGCAGCCTCGAAAGAGATCAAATGGCTAAGAGCAGACGCGGTAATCGCCATGGCCGTCGCTGCTTAGTTGCCACTACCCCCGGGGTAAAGATTGCGAGATGGTTTGGTCGACCCAGACGTTCGAGATCACCGAAAATTGCTAGAGCCAAAATGGCTACGAAGGAGGAGGAGGAGATACAAAACTCCACAAGCCTAGACCCTAGATACCGAGAAACAGCTTCTCTCGCGAATGCATTTGCACTTCCCATCGAGGCTCACGAGCAAAACGTAACAACACGTGTGAATACGAACATGCAAAGCGTAATCTAGAACGTCACAAAACGTAACAAAACGTAGGGCGCTGTGGAAGCTTGTAGCCCTCGAGGACTGCTCTACAAGGCGGGGGCGGGGGTCGGCGTTGAAGCCCGGCGGGGAAAGGCACTGCCACGTGCGGATGTTGATCATACAGCCGCCCTCTCTAGGCTGGGCACCTTGTTTACCCCCCATGGATCGTCGTCCTCCTCCTCCTCCTCCGAACTCGCAAATCCAAGTTGAAAGCTTCAAGCTGGGGGCGTTGATCAGACATATGACTTCTGATTCCTGGACTCTGTAAACTTGCACGCCTCTTAAGAATGAGGAAATGTGAAGGAATAGTGTGATGTCATGGTTTGTATTCAACGTGTTCAAATGTGAATATGCCCTGTTTGGATATGCCCTGTTCGGGGTGCATCTCTACGGCAGGTTCGTGTCGTGCTGAATTCGGCGTTGGTTTCTGACACTACGGGGATGGTTCAACCTTGAACGACCGACCGTTTCCGAAACGGCAGATCGTTCAACATCGAACGACTCTGGGTCGCTGGAGGGGTTCAACGTTGAACGCCAGCGGTGGGGTCGCCGCCAGTCGAGACGACGCGAACCTGCCGTATCTTTCGGACGTGCGAAATTGTGAGAGAAGCTGTGCGCCCTTGGTAGCTGACGGGCTGCAATGTGCACTGATGCTGGAGCGCCAAGGGGGGTACCCTCCCATTGCGCCGACACGTCACCCGATGTGTCGTTGAGATCCCCTCCCTCCCTTGGAAAGGGGAGGTGTCCGCCGAAAGATGTCCAAAGCAAAGACAAGCAGTCCGTCGGCGTTTTGCTGGGCGGCTCAGTGGCTCGACGTCCTCACGTACCCGTCGGCACTTGCTGGACGGGCTCGCATTTGGGCCACCAGGCAGGATCCTCGGCGTAAGCAGACTGGCTACCACCCATGTGGGCACTTTCCTGCCCTATCCGCGTGGTTGAGCCTCCAGCGACAAGCGATGTATCAGGCCTATCCCCACCGTGCCATGCTGGAGGGAGGGGGCGGCCAGGGATGAGAAGGCAAAGGGGTGGATTCGCGCCACGTCGCCGCTCAAGGCTCAAGATCTGATTTGCTTCTGCTGCTGCTGCTGCTGCTGCTGCTGCTCCAGGAGACTCCACCAGCTTTCGAGAAGTTCAAAGACTGCTTGCGCGGTTGCGGTATGCACTGCCTCGTGTACGGTTGGGAACTGTTGCTTCGCATGTCGCCGCGGCGGCCCCGGCGACACGCTATGCCCTGCGAGCGGATAGCGCGCCGCTCCGCGCTGCGGGGCGGGAGGATCGGAAAGGCTCGGCACGTGAACGCTAGCGGACCCGGGGTGGATAGCGTGTCGTGTCGAAGCGTGGTCGGCCAGAACCTGCGGAACGACGCGCTATCCAAAAGCTCTCGACCGTATTTGAGCGAGCTGAGGCTTGATTTCAGTCCACGTGCAAATAAGAGAACCCTCCGTACCTCCAGCCCCTCCTCCCTCTTGCTTCCTCCTCCATCCTCCCTTCCTCCCTCCCTCCCTCTCTCTCCCTTCGTCGTTTGTCTCCTCCTCCCTCCTGCTCGGAGGAGAGACGGGGAGGAATCCCAATATTTTGTTCATAGTCTCTGGATCTTCGTCTTCCCCTCCATCCCACACTTTCCAATGCAGTGTTTCTCGAACAAAAAAACGCCAATCTCTAACGCGTGTTGAAGCGGGTCCAAGCCACCAGCCCCAAATTCAAAGATCGGGGTAGTCGACGCGGGGTAGCGCGAGTCGTTTCGAAAAAAAACGCCCGCATTTGCAAACCGCAGCCTGCTCGTTTAGATGAACATTGAAATTGGGGGCGCGGGGAGCGCTCTTGCGCCATCTTCTTGCCGTTGTACCTCGGCGCTGTTGTTCGAAAACGGCGGTGCTTTCATAAAAATCTGCGTTGATTTGTGCCTGTGTCTATCCAAGGGCGCTGCCGCGCGATTCCTCCACCGCGCTTGGGCGGGCGCCCGGGGGGGGGGCGGGGCGGCGGGCGCCGGGGGGGGGATGATCCATTCAACGTCCCTCCCCCAACCTCGTATTTGGGCACATCTTCAGGCTGGATGCCCAAAAATGCAGGACTTGCTCATAACGGTGATCGCATCTTTGGCCCGATGCGTCGGGGGGGGGGGGCCAATATTTTTTCTTCGCAAGGAGCGAGAGGGCCCGACACACACACACACCGCTGCAAGCGCAGTGGCGGACTTTCTTTCGCCCTGAGAGGTCAGCGGAAGAGGGCGGGCCCCTCCCACGGCTCGGCGCTCGACTCTCGCACGAAGCCGAGCCGCCGGCTCTCCGAGACGACGATCCGGGGCGGGGGGTCCTGGCCGTCGGGGCCGTAGCGCATGCAGAACAACATGATCAGCATGGTCCGAGTGGGGGATCGATTCCAGAATCGATTTACAGTCGGACCTAGGCCAGAAGAACATCCTTCAAGAGCATGGTATCCTCTGTCGGCCAAGACAAACAGAACATCCAAGGGTTCCCTCCCCAGGATGCACAAGAACGTCCAACAAAAACGATGATCATTAGGGTACCCTTCCCGAACCGACCGCGATCTTATACTTCAGTCCAGCTGTACCCCCAAATTGATTTCCTCGTCGAATCTACGAGAAACATACGTAGAATGCTGCGCAGATCCTTTGAACATTCTAAGTTTTTGTTCGCAGATTCGGCGAGGAAATCAATTTGGGGGTAAACCCATTCTGTAGTCGATCCTCTACTCGAATGGTCTGTATCCAATGCAGGATGAAATTCTGCCAGCCGGTGATGTTCGGCCACCACCACACCTGCTCGTGCCCCTTGTGCCTGTCCAGCGGCTCGTCCTCGAAGAGCTCCTCCTCGGCAGCGCCAAAGAATTGGTCGAAGACTTCGCCCATTGTGCCTGAGAATGCCGATAAGCCGCCGCAGAACGACGAGTTAAACTTCATCAAGAAGAAATTGGGCAGAGTCTCTTGATATTGGATATGTTCCAAGACCAGCATGATAATAGTAGACACGAAGTTGCCGATTAGCCTCGCCAAAGGACGATCGTGGTCGTCGAACCATACATCCACCAGCAAGGTCGCGAAAATCACACCCAGGGTGCTCATCGCAACCCCGTAGGCGAGACCAATAAGACGAGGAGACACACTTATGGACAAGGTATCGAAGAATCTTCTCGCGTTCTCTAGGCCCCCAACGACGTCAGGGTCGCCCGCGTCCAAAGGGACGCATGTGCCAAACTCCTCCCGGCCCGCAGCAGCGAACACAAAGCCAGCGAGTATAATCGCGCTCGTCAGGGCTGGCAAGAGCTGACCGAAGCGCAATATGATATTGAAGGTCGACTGTTTCTGCAAGTCTCGCCAGCCAGAGTTCCGCCCCCACCCGTACAAGAGGATACTGCCCATCATGTTAGCTAGCACGAAAAGCGAACCAGCAAAAAGACTGCCAGTTGCTATAGCTATGTCGCTGCCCCCTTCCCCGACGTCTGGGAACGAGCTGGAGACATTCAGGAACCCGTAGCAGAACCCGTTCGCAGCGATGAACACCGTGTACTGATTGACACTTGTTCTTCTCTGGGTCTGTGTGAGAAGCCTCACCGACTTCGTATACCCCTCCATGTACGAGCTCCACAAGTTCAGCATCAGAACCCAAAAATTCAGCCACCACATCTCTGGCGGCTGGATGACCCCCGCCTGTGCGCCGCCAGAATACGTTCACATCCACTGCCGCGGGCTCGTGCCCTGGGGTCTCGGGGAGCAGCAAATAGGCATGCCTGCCCGCCCACGCGGGCGCGCAGAGATCCGTGTCCACCACTTCTTGAGATCCCAGGCCACGACCCCGCGGCAGTGGATATGGCCATACCCTTAGGAGAAAAAACGCCATAAACAATCATACACATAAACTTTTGGCGCTCCGCGCGGATTTCTTGAATCCGCGCTGGGGCGGCGCCGGAGGCGCCGCCAGGGGGAACCCAGAGCGGATCCAAGAAATCCGCGCGGAGCGTCAAAGTTTATGTTTATGGCGTTTTTTCTTCTTCGAGCTCTGGCGTCAGAGCCTGAACGTCGCACAGGAACCACGGCAGCGCCAGGTTCACCACGATCTCCGATGCCGCAGCGTTCTGACACACGGACCACCAGAAGTCCACTCGCTCGCGGCCCACGGAGAGCTTCGGGTGGGAGCGAGCCTCCTCGGGGGCCTCCCACACGGGGTCCGAGCAGATTGGGTCGGAGGATCGCGCAGTATCGCCAATGCATCGCCAATGCATCGGCGATGCTTCGGCGATGCATCGGCGATGCACCTGCGATGCATCGGCGATGCATAGGCGACGCTGGCGATGCATCGGCGGCATCGGCGTGGGAAAATTCTGGCTCCACATCGAGCCGCATCGTCGATGCGGCAGGATCTTCGACCGCATCTACTCGGATCCCACTTGGGAGCTCTGGACTCCTGCGGCGGGCGCTGCGCCGGGTCCTCCGGGGGGAACGTCTTCAGCTCGGCACACCCGCCAGAGCCATGCCAGTCCTCGACCACCTCAGCAGGCGACAGTCTCTCCACGACAGCCTCCTCGCTGCGCTGCCGCCTGCGCGCAGCGTCGCCGTCTTGGCCGATGGAGATGCTGCGGGGCATGATGACCAGCATCGGGCTGGAGCCCAAAGGGCTACGGAGATTGGAACGCAAGTAGCTGAACACCGAACGTCGTCGTAACTACATGCTGATGGCAGCCTGCGCTACTCTCAGTAAGTTAACGTATGCAGGGAATGTCTGAGGAAGGGAAATGTGCATGCGCCGCGCTTTTTGTAAAAGTGATATCACAGCACCGTGTGAAGAGGGACGCACAGGGCTACGGAGGAGGAGGAAGAGGAGCAACAGCAGGAAGAGGAACCACCACACGCGCCACCATCCCATCCCATACCTGCGTCAGGCCACCAGCGTGCGCCTGCCTACTAGAGCCAGCGCAACTTTACTTAGACACAGGTGTTGTGATAGATGCACACGAACACGAACAAGACAACCGAAATCTACGACACCTGTGGGCAGTGGCGTGTGAGAGATCTTGCCCTCCCCGAGCCCCTGCCCCTGGGGGATCTGCGCGCTTGTGGGGCGGTGCGTTCGCGAGCCGGGCCAGGCGCAGATGGAAGTCACGGACATCTTGTAAGCCCCTTTGTGAGCACTCTGCGGGTCCCCCAAGCCAGAGAGAAGGCAGACGAGGCCACCAGCAAGTTGTTCCACAACGCGACGCGACGATGCGTGTGATCGAGCACATGTGCCAGCAGAGTCAACGCTGGCGTGAACATTATTGCTGGAAGGCGCACTGCAATGCAAACAGCAGCAGTCTGGCTCAGCCTGGCCGCACCTCAGAAGTCAGAGCAAAAACGGCGACGGGCAAGCATCGAACGAGACAGCGGAAGGCGTCGAGAAAACTACTTTGAGGGGGGCGCAGTGGAGCGGGCAGGGAGAAAGTTGAGCAGACGTGCACACTCAAAGAGTGCAAGCAACGGCTTGCTGCGAGCGGTTGACCTCCGCGGGCCAACGCGGTGAACATCAAGGAACTAAGTCTGAGCAACCGCGACTAAACAGACCAGGCATTCGGCAGCTCCTCGCTGCAAGCCAGCGGTGGGCACCGCGGCGCGGCCGCACTCGCCAGACCGGAGGACCCCAAGCGACGGGCCTTGTAGTTCACGGGTGTCGTGGAGTTGCCGGAGAGGTATCGATTTCTGCAGCCCGAAAAGGGGCCTTCATTTCGGGCGAAGAGTCGTTCGACCATTCGGGCGCACGCTAATATGGATTAAGGATACGTGGATCGGGCGCGGGGTCACCAGATCCATGGATCGGGGAAGGTACCCCCGATAAATGGCGCCAATGCCGCCCGATTTGGTGGCGGAGCGCGCCGATTCACGGGGCCCGTCGCTAATCCACGCGCCTACATCCATGCTTGTGTTTCCTCGAGACCATGTCCCCTTCTCCTGGCTTCGGCGTGTTGAGTTGGGCGAGTTCCCCCCAGCGGACGACGACACTGACGGCCCGAGCTGCCCTTCCCAGGCGTGCGGCAGTCCCTCGGGTGCTGGCAGCTCGGATGCCCCTCCAGCCGAGTGGGCAGCCGACGCCTGGGCTGGAATCAGGCCGTGGCGCGCCCGCGGTCACTCCTGCCTAGAAGCTCACATCGAAGGCCCTGACGGGGCCACTGGCGAATGCATTGTCTTCTGCACCACGTGTGGGTCCGTCGGCCGCCCAGGTGCGTCTTGGAGTCGGAGAGCTCTCGCGTCAGGTTGCCCTGGGTCCCGTTCGGGCGGGCGGGAGCGCCAGTTGGCTTGGATTTCGCATGGCAAGCGCCCATCTAGACGCAATGGGCGAGTCGGCTCGGCGGCCTCATTGCCTGCCTCCAACCAGGACTTTCTAGCCGCCAAGCTTAGCCTTCTGGAAGTACCTCATTTGGGCCCCGCCCTTCCCTTTGTCCTAGGTCGGCCCGATGTGGCCCGAGCCTGACCCTTGTTGGCCTTCCCTCTCGCGCCGAGGCTGTGCAACTCGGACGGCGGCCCCTCCTCCTCCTCATCCTCCTGCTCATGCTGCTCATGCTGCTCCTGCTCCTCATGCTCCTCCTGTTCCTCCTCCTCCTCCTCCTCCACCACTACCTCCGCCTCCTCCTCCTCCACCTATTCATCATCTTCCTCTCCTCCTCCTCCTCCTCCTCCTCCTCCTCCTCCTCCTCCTCCTCCTCCTCCTCCTCCTCCTCCTCCTCCTCCTCCTCCTCCTCTCCACGCTGTAGGAGGTCGGGACACGGTAGCAAAGCAGCTGCCCTCGGCTTTCAACGCGGTAGTGGACGGAGTCACGGCTATGGATCTCCCCATTTCCTGGACGAAGGCGGGATTCCTGGCCAGTTCCAACGAGCTCGCGACCCGACTCTGCGAAGGGTGGGCGCTTGAGCTGAAGGATCGTTCGCATTCACATCGAGACTTGGGTGGGGACGCGACGGACGGGAGGTTCAGGCGGGTGCCAACGCATTTAGAGCGATTTTTAGCAGGGCAGCGGCGTGCCCTGCGCCTGCGGACTCTGCAAAGGGGAGGAGCCAAGATTTTTCAGGTCCACCGGGCTGGGCCGTCTGCTGTTTCGCTGTGGGGTTCCTGCGTGCACGGTGTCGCGGACACGCGTCTGCACCAGCTCCGCGTGACAGCAGCGCATGCAGAAGGCAGGCTCCCGAGGGGGGCCTCCACAGGCTTATCTCTTGCATGTGGTAAACGAGGCTGGAGGCGGGATCCTCTGGTGATCACGACTCGCGATAGTGTAAAGCAATATGGGGAGGTCCTATGGGATGGGCTCCTGTCGGAGGCCGTCCTCCAGGCTCTCTTCGACGACGGCACTAAGCAAGCGGCCAAGCTGCGCCCCTGGGTATCGTGCAGAGACCCTGTGGCTGCGCTTCTCATCACATGCCAGCGCGTGGGATGGAGGTTCCTGAGTCCGACGCTGGTGGCGGACGACCTGGGCGTGGAGTGGGACTTGCGCTGCTATTCGTCGGCCTGTATCGCCGACCAGATCGAGCACGCAGCGCGCCGTTCTTCGAACGTGCGCGCGCTTAGGCTGCAGGATAGGAGCTGTTGGGCTGGCCCCATTTTTTGGCGGCCCATTCTTGAGAATCTGTTCTGTGATTGGGAACCGGGCTGGGAGAAGCATCAGCAGTCTGCGCTCCGAGGCCTGGTCGCGGGCACGTACTGGTCGCAAGGGCGGCTGCACGACCAGGATGCGTCGGTGCCCGCGTTGTGTCAGCTCTGCCAGGAGGAGAGAGGGTCCCTCTATCACAGGTGCTACAGATGTCCGGGCCACGAAGCCTGGAGGCGAGATAATATTTCCTACGAGCTGGCTGCTGCGGCCAAGGAGATTTTCCAGGCCCCGCCTGCTTGGGGTGAGCGCTTTGCCCGGGGCATCTTCCCAGAGCCTGGTCTGTGCGTGTCTCGACCAGCCTTTGACCCGTGCTGGTCTCTCAGAGGCACGGGCATTGACCTGCCGGTGCTGCTGGAGGGAGGCTTCGTGTTCACGGACGGGTCCGGATTGAACTCGAGGTTTCCTACGCTGCGCACGACTGGCTGGTCCTGCGTTTTTTATTCAGCCGACCGCGTATTCCTAGGTGCAATCTACGGGGTTGTTCCGCCAGAATTCGCCACGACGCACACTGCGAGGGACGGCGAAGACTATGCGATGCTCATGGTGTCGCAACATGTTTTAGGCACGTTCAGCGTGCTAGCGGATTGTAAGGCCACGTTAACTTGTTGCACGTGTCCGCAGAGCGCCACTTCGGTGGCGAACCCAAGGGCCCACTTGTGGCTGCGGGTGCACTCTCGTGAAGATTTCCCGCAGCGAGTGTTTAAGCATGTTAAAAGTCACTGCTCCATGGTGCATGTCAGGGATGGTGTTCTCTCGCAGTTTGAGCTCGAAGGGAATGCTGAGGCAGACAAGTTTGCCAAGCGTGGGGCAAGCTACGGTGCTTCGTCTGAAAATGATGTTCTTTTCATCGAAGGTTGCCTGGTTATCGCGTCGCAGGCAGCGAAGCTTGCGGCTAGGATGGCCACCAGAATGGTCAACGAAGATATTCGTGACCACCAGGGCCTTGACTCGATCCGTTTGATCGACCTTGGAGTTCTTGACCTCGCCCCGCCAATCAACCCCCAGCCCGGTCCCGAGGCCCCGCCCGAAGGGGAGGAGGCGGAGGCTGTGACGGAGGAGGGTTTGGGAGGAGAAGAGGCGGAGGATGAGAGTTTTGGCATTGGCATTCGGGTGCCTTGGCGGGTGAACGGGCATTCTGTGCTGGAAGCTGGAGTGCCTGGCAGTGAGCCGATCATCTTTTGCACGACATGCTACAAGTACGCCGTGCATCAGAAGCAGAGAGGTCTATGCAGTGCTTGCTCGGGCCCTCGACGTTTGAAAGGTGGGTCGTCCTACACCATCCGCAAGCGGCTTCGAGAGCTCAAGCATCCGACCGACGACGGAGTTTCGCTGGATGAGCCCCAGGTCCCCTCCTCAGCCACCCGGGCGAAGTGGGCGTCTCATTTCGGCTTGGCTGGGGATGAGGCCAGGCCTCCATCTCGACTTGGGCCGTTTTCGGGCCGTAGGGCCCCTTCTGCGTTGAGCCTTGCCACGGTGCTCAAGGCCTTCGGTTTTTCGTCCCGCGCCGCCGCAGAGGAGCTCGGGAAAAGGGCCGTGGAGGCCCGAGCGGAAGCCCAAGCTCGGAGAGCTCGGGCGCAATCGATGGACGAGGCTGGAGAGCTCGGTTAGCGAGTTCGGGGGGTGGGGTGCCCTGTCGGCTGGGCCCCGGACCGTGGGGATGGAACCCTCGGCGGGGTTTAAAAGGTCTCCTCTGATGGGCACCCCACCCCATTTTTCCCCTCTCTCCCCCTGGACCTCCCTCTATGGGCGTTGAACCTCCTCCTCCTCCTCCTCCTCCTCCTCATCTCCCTCCTCCTCCTCCTCCTCCTCCTCCTCCTCCTCCTCCTCCTCCTCCTCCTCCTTCCTCTTCCTCCTCCTCCTCCTCCCCCTCCTCCTCCTCATCCTAGTCCTCCTCCTGCCCCTTCCTCCTACTCCTCCTCCTCCGCGCCTTGCTCCTCCTCCTCTCTCCTTCTCCTCCTCCTCATCCTCCTCTACTCTTCCTCCTCCTCATCCTTTCCTCCTCATCCCCTCCGCGCGGCGGCGGCAAGGCGCGCGTGGACAGACGGCGCCGACTGTTCCGCAAATGGAGGGCGTTTTACAGGCGCCAGAGGCCCAATTCTGACGAGGTCGCCGTTGACCTAGAAGCAGAGGCCCATGTGGCCTGGGCCCCTCTCCAGCGGGGAGGGGGGCCAGCGCTTGAGCAGA